GAAAGCACGATGTGGAACGTGAGTAGAAGGCACTGCGTGGTGGGATGAAGCTGTAAGTGGCCGAGATCTGATTAGCATGGTGGTAGCAGTAGTAGGCATGTATACCAGCCACAACATTATTGTTGATCATCTTGCTTCATTTCCCTGGACATGGGCTTGGCATCCTCTCAGCAGAGCTTTCCAGGCAGTGGCTACCTGCCAACTAAACTTGGCACATGAGTTGAAATCTTTTTACTACCCCCAGGGTGGCCTGTGCTTGCCTCATTCAAATTTATTACCAGAGAAAGTATTGCTTAACTACAGGCAAATGTAGATTTCTAAGAAATTCTTTCTTTCTTTTTTTTTTTCTTTGCCCATATTGCTAGTTCAGACATTGGAGCATAGTATGTCTTTTGGGAATCATTTCAGCTGTGATAGTGAAGCAAAATTCAAGGTTTCACGTACACTTTTGCCTGAACCTTAAACTAGTGCCCCCAAAGTGGGGTTCATGTACTCTGGGAGTGTACAAGACTATCCATTGGCATGCAGGAAGGAAATATTAGAGCTCTTATTTATTAAAAGCTTCTGTTCTGGCTGGACGCAATGGCTCACGCCTGTAATCCCAGCATTTTGGGAGGCCGAGGCGGGCGGATCACGAGATTAAGAGATCGAGACCATCTTGGCCAACATGGTGAAACCTTGTCTCTGCAAAAAATACAAAAATTAGCTGGGTGTGGTGGCGCACACCTGTAGTCCCAGCTACTCGGGAGGCTGAGGCAGGAGAATCGCTTGAACCTGGGAGACAGAGGTTGCAGTGACCTGTGATCGCGCCACCACACTCTAGCCTGGCAACAGAGCGAGAATCCGTGTCAAAAAATAAAAAAAAGAAAGAAAAGAAAAAAGCTTCTGTTCTCTTTATAACTAGCACTTCCATTTATTCTGTTTTCATTCTTAAAAAGAAAAAGGCTAGGGGCATAGTGGCTCACACCTGTAATCCTAGCACTTTGGGAGGTCAAGGTGGGTGGATCACTTGAGGCCAGGAGTTCGACTGGCCTGGCCAACATGGCAAAACCCCATCTCTACCAAAAATACAAAAATTAGCCAGGTGTGGTGGTACGCACCTGTAGTCCCAGCTGTGTGGGAGGCTGAGGCAGAGAATTCCTTGAACCCAGGAGTCAGAGGTTGCAGTGATCCAAGATCACGTCACTACACTCCAGCCTGGGTGACAGAGTGACTCTTGTCTCAAAAAGAAAAAGAAGTTTGGCCGGGCATAGTGGCTCATGCCTGTAATCCCAGCCCTCTGAGGGGCCGAGGTGGGTAGATCAGTTGAGGTCAGGAGTTCTGTATCAACCTGGCCAACATGGTGAAACTCCATCTTTACAAAAAATACAAAAATTAGCCAGGTGTGGTGGCATGTGCCTGTAGTCCCAGCTACTTGGGAGGCTGAGGCAGGAGAAATCACTTGAACCCGTGAGGCGGAGGTTGCAGTGAGACACTGTATTCCAGCCTGGGTGACAGAGTGAGGTGAGGCTCCATTTCAAAAACAAAAACAAAAACAAAAAAATACACGAAGCTTTAGTCAAGTTCAATATATGGATTGGTTCATATCCAAGGTAACCTGAAGGAAGAATGAGGGATTCTACAGCACAGTGCTTGAGATGCCCTTGTTTGTTATTGGTTAGCTTTCACCATCCTGTGGGGGCCCAGAAAGTGCTGTTGTGATTCCCTTATCTACTAAACAAATGCTCACAAAGTAGATAAGTGACTTAAAATATTTTTGCAAAGAAACTGATTTAAGATAATAAAGCAATGTAAACATTTATCACTTCTTGGCCTTTGGGCTAGGATCAAGTGCAGTGATATAAGCATCTGAGAACAAAAAGAAAATGCAGAGTTAACACTCCTACTCTTAGTAGATACTTTTCAGTGTGGAAGAATTGCTTTGTAAATGCTTTTTAAAAGAAGCACCTAGTACAAAATGAGCTTTTCAAAAACCAGATTGTATTAAGATAGACTGTGGTGATGGTTGCACAACTCTGTGAATACGCCAAAAACTATTGAATTGCATACAGCGCTATCTTGGGTCACTGCAACCTCTGCCCCCTGAGTTCAAGCGGTTCTTACGCCTCAGCCCCTCCAGTAGCTGGACTTACAGGCATGTGCCTCCGGGCCTGGCTAATTTCTGTATTTTTAATAGAGATGGGGTTTCGCCATGTCAGCCAGGCTGATCTCAAACTCCTGACCTGAAGTAATCTACCTGCCTTGGCCTCCCAAAGTGCCAGGGGGATCTCATTATAGACGTGAGCCACAGTGCCTGAACTGAATTGCATATTTTTATGGGGTGAATTGTATGACACATGAATTGTATCTCAATAAAGCTCCTAAAATGCAGACTGTGGCTGAAAACTTACATCATCTATGAGAACTCTAACATTGGCTCACTTAAACTGGGATACATAATGTTCTGGCCTGTTAATCTAGCAGGTAAAAAGTTTCAGTAGTTTTGAACCCAATTGTTAAACATGTTAAAATGAAAGTCCTTCTGATTTAATGGACAGGAACAAGTGATTCTCCTTGGGGCAAGATGGCAAAACATTATTTTAAAAGTTTTGCATAATTGATGATGAGATTAAACAATAATTTAGTTATTGCATCAGTAACTGACAAGAAAAAAGAACCTGACCTTCAAATTGCTATGTCAAATCTTTAACAAGATTTAACACCTTATTTAACAAGGTATTTATAGGAAAGCATATTCAAAGAGCTTTCTTCTCGCTCAGAATAGTAATAGTATTAATTATACTTATTAGCTATAGTAATATATCATGCTATTAAATTATAATTATACAATTGATAACATTATCATTACATACAATTGATAATTATAATAAAATTAATAATATGTATTTATTAATGTATTACTATATTCTATTTTGAGTGAGGACAAATTGCAACATTAATATAATTTCAAAATACTGTATTTTTTCATAAAAATACTTATTTTTTTACATTCTTTATGTTTCCAGATGTTTTATAATGTACATTATATCAGTACAGCATATGCACATTATTCTTAAACATATTGGGATACCTGTTCAGATATGTTATTGATGGAGTGTGTCTCCAACTGGGTTGAGACCACTGCTTTTTACGCTGTTTCTTTTTTTTTCTTTCTTTCTTTTCTTTTTTGAGACAGTCTCGCTTTGTTGCCCAGGCTGAAGTGCAGTGGCACGATCTTGGCTCACTGCAACCCGTGCCTCCTGGGTTCAAACGATTCTCGTTACAGGGATGTGCCACTATGTCTGCCTAATTTTTGTATTTTTAATAGAGACAGGGTTCACCATATTGGCCAGGCTGGTCTCCAACTCCTCACCTTAAGTGATCCGCTCGCCTGGGCCTCCCAAACTGCTGGGATTATAGCCATGAGATACTGCTTATTTCTTTGTTTTAAATAATGTTAAACTGCTATGTTAAATAATAATAATCTCCTGAAAGACAGAATAACATCATGCTTATGAAAATGAATTCTGGAGCCAGACTCCCTGGGTTCAAGTCCTGGCTCTGCTGCTTATTGTCTGTGTAACTTTGGGTAAGTTATTTAGCCTTTCTATGCTCCAATTTTTTCATCTGTAGAATGGGGATAATGATAATATTATTGCCTCATAGAGTCTTGGGGATGATTAAATGTGTTAAATATAAAAGGTGCTTAGAATATTGCCTGGCATACAGTGTTAGCTGTTGCTTTATCATCATCTAATGTAAAACCTGGAATTGGTTAAGACAAACAATTTTATGCTCCAACTATCTGATCAGGAGGTAAAGCAGTAAACGAGCTTCACCCTGGAGAGGGTTACTATTCCTGACCCTTGACCGTAGGCAGCCATTGTAGCTTCCCCAAACACACAGGGTCCTTCTGATACTGCAGTGATGGTCCCCTTCAGTCTTCTTACTGAATACCTCACGCATTCAGCAAAATGTGTATGCTCTTCTGGGAACAGGAAGACATAGATAGGCCTCTGGTTTGATTTGAGAGAGCAATGAGATAATCTAAAGTTTCTGCTTTCTTCATTTGACAAAGATGATTTAAAGAATCTTATTAGTAAAATGTGATTAAACTATTGATTTTTCCTCTTTTAACTAAATCCTATTTATTTTGAAAGATTTTAAGTCTTAACTTTCCTTTTTGAATAATTCTATTTACATTTCTAGAAATTACTACTTTCCTTTTGAAGTCATTGGAATGTATATTAAAAGCACTTTTCAAAAAGAAGGCAATGTCTCTATGGAGGTTAGAGGTGCTATCAGTCACCTTGTTTGCTAACTTCTGAGTTATCTTGAACCATGCAAAAGGACAACAGTTAGATTTGCATTAAAAGATGTCTACATGGTGATATATTTTGGTGTTCTTCTTCTTCTTCTTCTTATTATTATTATTATTTTTTTTTTTGAGACGGAGTCTGGCTCTGCCACCCAGGCTGGAGTGCAGTGGCCGGATCTCAGCTCACTGCAAGCTCCGCCTCCCGGGTTCCCGCCATTCTCCTGCCTCAGCCTCCCGAGTAACTGGGACTACAGGCGCCCGCCACCTCGCCTGGGTAGTTTTTTTGTACTTTTTAGTAGAGACGGGGTTTCACCATGTTCGCCAGGATGGTCTCGATCTCCTGACCTCGTGATCCGCCCGTCTCGGCCTCCCAAAGTGCTGGGATTACAGGCTTGAGCCACCGCGCCCAGCTTGGTGTTCTTATTATTAAAGCACCTTTAAATATATTCCCTTCACTAGCCCTCTTAACCCTTTGATGATTATATAGATTTAACTTGATAGTTTTATGAAAATTTCCAGGCCTTCTCTATACAGGTACAGACTTGTTACACATGTGCCTGTTGTTATTTTGCAGGTGGCATCATATTCTGTAATTTATTCTGAAACTTACTTTGCTTTTTGTCTCTCAAAATGCATCGTGGAACATTCTTCCGTGTTAGAGCTATATAGATTTACCCAGTTATTTTAGTGGCTGCATCATATTTCATCATGTGGATACTCTACAACTTATTTACAATTTTGTTATTTATGAGCTTTTTGGTTACCTCCCTACTATGCGTCAAAATCTTATGTGAACCTTTCTTTTCTTTTTCAGGGTTACCTTGGCTTTCATTGGGATCAGTTTGCTGGTTATAGGAACTACACTGGTTGGGCAGCTGCCAGACAGCAGGTGAAATGTTTCCTTCCATCCAGCCATACATAGGATTGTTTTTACTCTTAGCTGTGTCCACAAAGAGAATATTTGTTTGATTCCTATGTATTGCATCATTATTATTATTATTATTTTTGAGACGGAGTCTTGCACTGTCGCCCGGGCTGGAGTGCAGTGGTACGATCTCGGCTCACTGCAACCTCCACCTCCCAGGTTCAAGAGATTCTCCTGCCTCAGCCTCCTGAGTAGTTGGGATTACAGTCACCCACCACCATGCCCAGCTAATTTTTTGTATTTTTAGTAGAGACAGGGTTTCACCACGTTGGCCAGGGGGATCTTGAACTCCTGACCTTGCGATTTGCCTGCCTTGGCCTCCCAAAGTGCTGGGATTACAGGTGTGAGCCACTGCGCCTGGCTGTATTGCATTAAAATTTATGTTCCCTACTCATTTATTAGAATCCTGCTCACTTACTTCATCTTCATAGTCTTTCTTTGATTTTTTATCATACTTCCATATTAATCGAAAGAAGTTGTTTTTTCAAAGGAGAATTGAAGAAAGAAAATGAACTGAGTTACCTAAGAGAGTCTTATATATTGGCAAGCTCATAAGAACAAGACGAAAGAAGCTTCAGTTTATCTTGTTCAGGAATTTGTCATAATAGCCTAGTGGTTTTGAGCTACTTTTCATCAGAGTTATGTCCAGTTCTTTTGGTAGACTTTTGTGATCTAATACTAAATGCACCAGTGAGACTATAAGAATTGAACTGTACTGGTTCACCAGAATAGAATGCAGTATGCTGTTGTGAAAAAGCACATTAAAACTTTCATTATACTGTTTCTTAAGAGTGCCCAGAATGGCACAATAAAATGTTTCTATTTCCTTCAGCCTCAAAAACTGGCTGAGTGAACTGGTCCATCTGACTTGCTGCCGGATCTGTGTGCGATCCCTCTCTGGTACCATTCATTATCATAACAAGTGAGTATCTGCTGCCAACGTGCCTGTCTTTTTCTAGGTCAATTCAGCATGAGATTGACAAGGAAGCACTGGAAGTGGGTGGGAAGAAGTGGGTGGAGTCAGAGTACTTCCAATGTGTTCATCTCTACTTCTCAGGGTGGCACAGGCATAATGCACAAAAACACTAAATAGCAGTGTTTGCAGAAAGAATATAATAATAAATATGTAGTTGTGCTCAATAATTGGGCATTTATGGTGTGCAGGCCAGACCCTATGTTTCTTATAGTTCATCCCTATGAGATAGGCACTGTTAACCCATTTTAAAGGAGAAGAAATGTAAGCTTTGGGATTTGTTGTTTAGGGTCACAGTGAATAAGCAATGGAATCAGGTTTTGAACAAGGTCTGTCTGATTTTAAAAACAGTGAAGTTGACAGGTCTGTAGTGTGGTGGAAATAGGACTAGACGTGGAGTCTGGAAATGTGGTCTCTAGTCTTAGTCCTGCTACTTCTAAAATTCCATAATTGAGCCTTAAAACAAAATTCTGCTTTTCTCTCCCAGAATTGTAGAGAATGAAGGTAGCAAAGGAAAATAATTAGCTAAGTGAAAGGGATTTTGATTGCGTTTGAACTACTTTTCTGTTATCTCAATTTTTTTTAGATTTAGCATCATTGTTTTAAAAGTTCTAGGCCAAGCATCTCTTTTTTACTGATTTGGTCTTTCTTTCTCATTTGTAGAAGAGAAACATTTTGCCATTTGGCTTTACCATGTGGTACCAACATAAAAGACCCTTTAAACATTTTAAATTATATGATCTTGCAATTGGACTATGAGTTTTAAAGTGAAGAGTAAAAGAAAACACTCTGGCAGAGGTGCAGTCAGAAGAAACACCTGTAGAAAAGGCACACTTATTACATAAAGAGGAGTTCCTAACTTCTTATAGAATTGCTTCTAATTTTAAAGAAAATGTGTTAAATAATTATGTATTTGGTTCTCTTTCTTCTCTGTATAGGCCCAAACAAAACTACTTTGCTTTATTGGTGTCAAAGGCTGGATTCACTCTAGGGTAGAGATCCACAAACTGAACGGGAAGCCTATAGGCCAAATCTGGCCCACCATCTGTTTTCTGTAAATAACGTTTTATTGGCACACAGCCGTGGTCATTCACAGCCATGGCTGCTTTTGTGTCACAACAGCAGAGTCAAGTAATTGTGGCAGGCATTGTCCGGCTTGTAAAGCTTAAAGTATTTACTGTCTGGCCCTTGATAAGAAAAGTTTGCCAACCTCTGCTATAGAAGGAGAGGAGGGAGGAAACTACGGTGAATTTTCTGCATGGATTACCATGAAACCACTAAAAGTGATGTATATGAAGATAAAAATAATATGAAAATGCTTCAGATTAAATCAGTGAAAGCTATGTATTATCAATGTTAAAATCATGGGCCCCCTACCACACTCTCATCATACTGCCTAGAGATCACCTTTTAAAGATGGGCCCATCTACCTCCAAACTTAATTTTTAAAAATATGCTTAAAAAAGACCAGGCACTGTGCTCATGCCTGTGATCCCAGCACTTTGGGAGGCCGAGTGGGGCAGATCACTTGATGTCAAGAGCTCGAGACAAGCCTGGCCCACATGGCGAAACCCTATCTCTGCTAAAAATATAAAAATTAGCCAGGCCTGATGGCACATACCCTTAATTCCAACTACTTGGGAGGCTGAGGCAGGAGAATTGCTTGAACCCCTGGAGGCAGAGGTTGCAGTGAGCCAGGATTGTACCACTGCACTCCAGCCTGGGCCACAGAGTGAGACTCCATCTCAAAATATATATACACACACACACACACACACACAAACACACACTTAAAAAAATAAGGTGACTATTTACATGCTGTGGCTATTTTAGAAGACTTTGAATTTTCCGTTGTTTGTAATTGCAGGCAATACAGACCCCAGAAGGGAGGCATTTGTGTTGCCAACCATACTTCCCCAATTGATGTTTTAATCTTGACAACGGATGGATGTTATGCTATGGTAAGAGCAGCTCATTGATATTTCAAGTAGTTGCATGTTTTATGGATTGATCAAACTTATTTTGGCACAAATTAGCAAGTTGGTTTTATGTTAGAAATTTGGCTGCGTTATACTATTGTAGCTATATAAGTTATTTGTAATATATTTACATGAGGAATATGTAGTGCAAGAAAAGGAAGGAAAGTAGCCATTATATTTAAGATGGTAAAAATTTAACTTACTGAAATGCAGACATTCTTGAGCTTGATAGTACCTTGTAAAGTTGATTCCATTTTCCTTGTAAAATCCCTGCCAGTGTTTAATAATGTTTGCAACATTAAATTCTTTCTTTTTACAGTTGTACATATCCCCCAGCCACCCAATTAGTTCTTTCTTCCTTCAGGGACTTATATGCAATTAAAAGAAATCTGGCTTTTAACAAGGATCTAGCAAGAAAGGCAAATATTTATATCAGGTTGCCTTTCTCAGTCCTTGCCCGTAGCCCCAAAAGAAAAGAAAACGAAACAAAACCCAAGAACAAACTACAAAGCCCACAGTAAAACTGTATACCTCAAAACAGCCTTTCATGGGGATGAATACAGGAATCATATTCTGCCTTTTTTTTTTTTTTCAAATCTGTGTTTTCTGTTGCCCTTGCAAATTTGTCAAGATTTCCTGCATCTCCTTTCTGTGTCAGGTAAATTCTGCAGGATAATTGAAGCTGCATGGTGGTTAAATGTGCCTTCAGTTGGTGTTTGCCTGGACAAGGGTCCTAGAGGATTACCTTCTCATATTTTTCATGGTGGTGGGTTGGGCTTCAGGGAGAGTAGATGGATTTTATTTCACTTACCAGTTCCAGGGATTGATAATCATGGTCTGGTGTGTTTTTCTGAGAAGGCATTTGAAGGGAGCCATTCTTGATTAAATGTCGCTGCAAGTAGGAGGGTGGAGAGTATTTGCACGTGTGCAGGTATTTGACTCTGCATGGGTTACACAATCATTAAGGGAATTTTGAAGGCCTTTGCAAAAATTTCTACTTATTGCCATGTGTTTAATCTGTCTAAAATACATGGTCAGATACATAACTCTTGAACACTACATTTTAACACATTATTAAATTTCTCTAAATACTGAGCTCTTTCTGAATCCAAGGAAGCGTTAGCCACCTTTATGAAAAGACTTATGGGAATTGGTACTTCTTAATCTTTTCTTAGGTTAGGAATTAGTTGATAATTATGTACCTTTTTAAAGAAAAAACTAACATGTATCTGCATCATACAAACACAATTTTATGTATAATTTCAAGATGTTTATGGGTCTCCCTAAAGACCGTCCAAGGATCCTCATGTTAACAGCCTTGATAGACCCCCCAGCACAATTCTCAGTGTATGTAATAATCCTTGTATTTATGTGGACAAACACTTTCATGCATTATATTTGACCCTCCCTGTAATCCAATCAGGTTAGGTCTGAAGTTTTATTATAGATGAGGAAGCAGAGGCTTAGGCAACCAATCTGACTGTCAAAGTTGATTTTGTGCTGCTATAACAGAATACCACAGACTGTAACTTATAATGAACAGAAACTTACTGGCTCACAGTTCTGGAGGCTGGGAAGTCCAATATCAGGGTGCCAGCATCTGGCCATGGTCTTCTTGCTGAGTCATCACATGGTATAAGGCAGAAGGGCCAAAAGCCCAAGAAAGCAAACCCACTCCCAGAGCCATTTTGTAAGGGCATTAATCCATTCATGAGGAGAGCACCCTCATGGCCTCAGTATCTCCCGTTATGCCCCACCTCCCAAAACTGTTGCAAACCATAACACTCCTTGGTCATGGTTTTGTGTTTCAGAAATCATATTCCTCCTGTATTCTGGTCAACAAAGAGTTGAGTATAACCCATTTGTGACCAAGGACCTCAGAACTTTGTTGCCATTTTTCTTATTTTTGGATTGAGTATAACTGCAATTGCAATATATTAGTCAAAATTTAGAAAAGCATAGTAACTGCAAACTGTCCAATGGGTTGAGTGTAGAAAACTAAAGCTGACTGAATTTAAATTGGAGGTGGCGCAAGGCAGATGTGGGATGATATGGTGCCATTAGTCTCCAGACATCATAATTGGCCTCTTTTGACTAAATATAAACTCTGTATCTGAAGAACATCAAAGATCTCTTCTCAGTGACTCTCCTTTTATTAAAAGAAATCTATTGTTTAATTGACAAATAAAAATTATATATATTTATAGTATACAACAGATGTTTTGATAGATGTATATATTGTAGAATGGCTAAATCAAGCTAATTAACATATCCATTACCTCACTCAGTGACTTTTCTAGTCTTTTTTTTCCTTCGAGACAAAGACCTCTACTTTTCTAAATTTAGAAATGTTTTCAAGCTTACAGAAAAGTTGTAATAATAAGAAAATCACAGTAGAGCACCCTTACGCCCTTTATCCACTTTTACCTATTGGCAACATTGTGCCTCATTTGCTTTGTCATTTGCTTTCTCAGGTACTGGGAAAAGCTGTCTTGTTCTATCTCTCCCTATAAAAATGTGGGTAAAATGTTTGTATTTTTAATATATTTATTTTTAAAATTTCTTTTTTTTTGAGACAGCACCTCACTCTGTTGCCCAGGCTGGAGTGCAGTGATGTGATCTTGGCTCACTGCGACCTCCGTCTCCCAGATTCAAGTGATTCTCCTGCCTTAGCCTCCCTAGTAGCTGGGATTACAGGTACCCACCACCACACCCAGTTAATTTTTGTATTTTTAGTAGAGACAGGGTTTCACCATGTGGGCCAGGCTGGTCTCAAACTCCTGACTTCAGGTGATCTGCCCACCTTGGCCTCTCAAAGTGCCGGGATTACAGGTGTGAACCACTGTGCTTTTTTTTTTTTTTTTTTTTTGAGACATAGTCTTGCTGTGTCATCCAGGCTGGAGTGCAGTGGTGTGATCTCGACTCACTGCAACCTCCGCCTCCCAGGTTCAAGTGATTCTCCTGCCTCAGCCTCCCAAGTAGCTGGGATTACAGGCGCCCACCACCACATACGGCTAATTTTTGTAGTTTTTAGTAGAGATGGAGTTTCACCATGTTGGCCAGGCTGGCCTTGAACTCCTGACCTCAAGTAATCCGCCTACCTCAGCCTCCCAAAGTGCTGGGAATACAGGTGTGAGCCACCACGTCTGGCCTATATTTACTATTTATTTCTAATATTTACATTGGAAATCTGAATACATCCAACTCTTAAGGTTCTTTCTTGCTTTCCTTCAATTCATATTTGTATCTCGCTTTTTCATAGTGAAAATCCTGTTTCCCAAAAATATCAATATGTTTACTAATTTTCTCAATTCTATAATACATCTAAAATTATTTCAGAATTGCTTCACTATTACAGACAAAAATCTAGTGAAAAGAATTCAGAATGTTTTGCATCCAAGATGGAGGGTATGTGGTTAGACACTGTCTGTGTAAGTTTCTTGGATGTTTCCCCCTTCTTTTAATGCTATTCTTTTATTCACTTAAAATACAATTGGGTTCATTTGCTTCAGTTTGCTTTAGTTTGTCATTTGTTCCTTACTGATTTACTTTTATTTATTTTTTGAGTATGTAGGGTATCAATATGTTTCCGAATGTCAAAACAAAGCAGAAAAGGTATACTTGTTGAAGTGCTGCTACCTTCCATGTTCATTCCATCCCATTCCTTCCTACTCTTGTAGGTTCATTGACTTTGGTATTTCTTTTTGTAGAGATAAACACATGTATGTGTATTATTTCCCCTTTAGTCTTATACAAAAGGTAGCATACTGCATTTGTTCTTTTGTCTTTTTCATTTAACAATATCTCCTGGAAGTTACTCTTTATCAGTCATAGAGATCAACCTTGCTGTGTTCCCAGCTGCATAGTACTCCATTATTTGTATGTACCATTGTCTATTTATCTAATTTCTTATATTTGGACATTTAGGTAGTTTCTAATATTTTGCCATAACAAGTAATGCTGTAGTTAATAGCCTTGTGCATATATATTTTCATTTTGTTGGAAGTTTATCTTCAGGATAAATTTCTAGGAGAGGAATTATTGAAATGAAAGATGAATGTATATGCAATTTTGTAGATGTTGCCAAATTTTCTTCCATTTATGTTGTAATCTGCTGCCTTCTCCCAGGCAATGTATGAAAGTTATCCATAGCTTTATGTCAGAATGTATTGTCAAGCTTTTAAATCTTTGTCAGTGTGATGGGTTTGAAATGGTATTTCAGTGTAGTTTTAATTTGCATTTCTCTAATCTTGACCAAGTTGAAAACCCTCTACTTTTTGAAGTTAGAGGATTGCTAGCACAAGAACATAACTTAAAATTCAAAGGTGCTACTAAAGAATACCTTTTTGCTTACATTTGACCTTTCAGACTCTTTGATCAGACTAAGAACTTCAGTCCATAGAAGGCCAATCTTATCTTGGAGTGGAGAACAGAAATTTGTTGGTACTTAAAAAACTTTTTTTGGACAACTGTGTCTTTTACATTTTTTTTTTTCTTATGGTACTTCTAGGTTGGCCAGGTTCATGGCGGCTTGATGGGAATTATTCAGAGAGCTATGGTCAAGGCTTGTCCTCATGTCTGGTTTGAACGCTCAGAAATGAAGGATCGACATCTGGTTACTAAGAGGTAAGCAGTGAAATTACTCAGAGTTCACTGGAGTAGCATGAAAGCTGATAAATCTTGGCCTTCCTACCAAAGAGGGCCGAGCAGCACTGAGTCTCAAAACTAAAACAGAGCTCTGTTTGCAATTGGATTTTCCTGGCAAATCACCTGTCTTAGCCACATTTTTTTTTTTTATACTTTAAGTTCTAGGGTACATGTGCACAATGTGCAGGTTTGTTACATAGGTATACATGTGCCATGTTGGTGTGCTGCACCTGTTAACTCATCATTTATATTAGGTATATCTCCTAATGCTATCCCTCTCCAAGCCCCCACCCAACAGGCCCTGGTGTGTGATATTCCCCACCCTGTGTCCAAGTGTTCTCATTGTTCAATTCCCACCTGAGTGAGAACATGCGGTATTTGGTTTTCTGTCCTTGCGATAGTTTGCTGAGAATGATGGTTTCCAGCTTCATCCATGTCCCTACAAAGGACATGAACTCATCATTTTTTATGGCTCCATAGTATTCCGTGGTGTATATGTG